CAAACTTAAACCACAGAACTTGCAATGCTGCAAATCAATTATATACAAGAACAAGTTAAACACATAATTTGACAGACAAAAAGGTCAGGTTGCAGGTAGCTGGGAACCCGCGGACCGCCGTGCCAAACAATATGCGTAATGGTATACAATTTGCAAGTTAATTTTAATAATAACTAATTTTCCGGGCAACCTTCTTAATTTTTTAGTAAAACTTGGTATTTTTAAAATTTTTTTGGGTGACATTGATAAATCGGGCAGATCATGTTTAAGAATGCATCAAATCGAATTTTAGTACATTGCCTACCAAGCTGACTGTCGGCTGAGTTGCACTTATAGCCGCTCATCGGCATTTACACAATCAAAATAATCATTGGCGCAAATAGGGGGGGGGGGGGCTTCGGGGGACTTAGTCCCCCCTCAAATTTCGTTCATGTCCCCTTAGTTCAGAATCTTATAATTAGTACTAATTTGTTATACTCTTTGGTACTAAACATGTTTATTTTATAAAAACTTAACCAAATTACGAAATACAATTATTGAAAATAAATTGTTATTATGATAGTTTTTGAGGACAACTATGGATCACACTAGGTTCTCAACTCTATCTATGCTAGTAATTGCTACATATTGAGAGGGATTTATCTAATTATATAAATACAGAAGACATTTTAAATGTATTTTCTGAAAAAGAACAGATAATTTTGTTAAAATAAATATATTCTAAAAATGTAATACTTTGTTTTTTTTACATTGATAATGATTATAGCTGAGTGGATGGGTGATTTTATGGAGGGCGTTCCCTTCCAACAATTGTTTACCTACATTGTAGGCTATGGGGAGGGGGGCTTAAGTCCAACCAACAATTTTAGTCAATTTGAGTCTATGAAAATAATTAATAAATTAAAATTGAACATATTGTTCATGCAGAGGGTGCACCTAGCGGGGTCCTCAATCCAAAACGGGTAGAGATAGCCTACCTTATAATAAACTGCTTAGGTACTTTATCACAAGCGTGTCTTATAGAGTTGTCATTTTTTATGGACAGTTAATCTGTCTACTGACGATCGCACGTAGCAACAGCAGCAACCGCTATATTTATGAAAACGTAAGAAGGAATGCCTATGGTTACTAGGCCCTTGTTTATTGTTTCTTATCTGTGTTATTCAGGTAATGATGAATCATTATTTATATTGAATATGATTTGGGTTATTTGATATTAATAATAAAAAGGTACTATAAATAATAATAATTGCACTCAATACTCAATTTAATGTTTGTGTATCAAATGCGCGTTTTGTCATAACTTTTGTTATAAAATAAATTAAAATTATATGTAGGTTAAAATACATGTAAAATAACACAAACATTTTTGAAAACAAAAAAATAATAATTAGCCAATAAGTACATGATGATTAAATTATGTATACTTGATAGCGGACCATAAAAAGGTTAAGAACCGCTGACCTAGTACATATATTAAAATGTAATTAATATTATGACTTAGTTGTTTGTTATCGCTCCGCCATAAATACAATATATATATTAAAATAAACAATAAAAATGAAAAAATATATTGTACACGAACGTTTAAAAAAAAAATGTCAATATTTTATATAATTGTATACATAAAACTTGAATTTAAAAAAATGTATTAAAATTATAAACTTTGAGAAGACATTTGTAGGACCCAGAAGTATATGAAATGGGCAGTTGTGCGTTTTGGTAGTCTAGAACCAGTTAGCCAATTATTAACTCTTAAACAATAATTATACTGATATTTTCCAAATTGTTTGTATAGGTTAAATGTTAGAACGAAGTAGGAAAGAAGTATAAAAACGAAAGCAAGCAACATACTAATGCTATAATACCGAACCTACTGATGATATTAAATGTAACTAGTATCTATTTCCTAAAATATATCATCTATCACAAGCTTAACACGATAGTTGTAATAACAATAACAACATAGCTACTAATGCAACTATACGGCTGGGTGATAACAAACAAGAGTGGCGTAAAGATAAATTGTATACGGTGTACTGGCGGGGCGATGACAAACAAGTAGCAAATAACTAAATGAAGAGTAATAATTTAATTTAGTCATCGTAATGGAAAATAATTGAACAAGGTGGACGGGTGCCTCAAATTTTGCATTATTTTAAGATATCTCATTAAGAATTTTGTAAATATCTTTGGTCACCAACACACTAAGGTTTAGAACCACTCTTCTGCATATTATGTATAATAATTGTGATATGGATGATACCATACATGACTAATAATATATTTTCGTAGAATCGTTATGATAGAGAAATGTGTAAGAGATTCTACTGAATGCGTCTAATATTTATTTGTTTTATTTTATTTTATTATATTTATTTATTTATTTATTTATTTATGTAATTAAGGACTATTGTATCAAATATTCTAGTGATCATTCCAGAAGATAATAAAACTTAATCATTAGAAATTTAAAAAATTACGTAAATCGAAAAAAATTACAAACATCTCGGGCGGCCGTGCCAAACCATAGGCCTATCGCACAATATTTACGGTTTTAGCTGTCGCCGATTCGATCTCACCTACCTGACGTTAATAGTCTCCTAAGCCTTGGTACCTACGAGATAATCTACTCGGGTGATTATCAATGCCAAAATTCGAGCATAAAAGCCGTTTCTGTTCAGCGACAAATACTGCATTAAACCGATTGAACTCTTATGAGTTATATGTAATAAAACCTTGAATCGCATATTTCTACGTATTCGGTGTGTGTATACCATTTGTAGTTACATACATGTTATACTCAGACACTCAGTTATGTAAATATCTAAACAATGTTTGAATATTATTCATTCAAAGAAAATTAATTACCTGAACGTTATTATTGCTTATAAATATATAATATATTCACAAAATTAATTATAGAAATGTCAATTTATAAATATGCTACCTATTGAATGACAGTACATTGCAACTTTTCTGTTGAGTTTTGTTAAAATATAAAATATTTTATTTTAAATAGTGACACAATATATTGACATATTATTCTGTATTAAATTAAATATATATCTTTGATAATTTATTATTCAAAAAATATAGTTTTAAACATTTTTGTTTTTTATAACACAAGGTAATAGGAACAAATAATAATACAAACAAAAATATCCAATTAAAATAAAGTATAGGCACGACGTCCCGGAACCAGGAGGCGAAGCCACTATAATATACTTATGTTACTTTAACAGGCAAGGTTATAATAAACTTATTAGTTTACTTGAACACAGTAGAGGTAATAGCATTAAAATTTTGAGGCAACAATTTTTTACCTATTCATCTAGACAATCACAGACCTCAAAACGCATTTATTTTGTTTAAACACAAATTTTTTCTTTAAACTTCTGTCAGAAAACGGTTTCATTTTTACTATTTCTCATCATGAAATTAACTATAGTAAGTTACAATTTGGCATTACTATTTACTGGTAGGTATATGTACTATATAATATCGAAATACTATACATCTATAATGTATACAAAACTGAGACACAACCCCTATAAAGTGTTTTTCTAGTTTTGAGTTAAAAATAGTCAAAAATGTACAAAATTGATGCAAAAGAAGAATTTCGAAAAAATTAATTCAAATAAAAAAATGTATTAATCTAAATAATAACAATTTTTAGTTTCTTAATTGACTAGTGTCTTCCTAGTAACAAAAGAAAAATTATATAAACTGACAAAAATAATAAAGAATATTAAAAAGTATTATATTTTATATATTTATTAAGAATATTAAAAAAGTATTATGTTTTATAAATTAAGTCAATAGATATACATTTTTTATTGTCATATATATTAATAATTTCTTCATAAAATGGTTCATATGCTTTGAGCTGTTGGATTAATAATTTTTCAATGGATATTTTAGATTTAGACGAAGAACTTAAGCGCTGTTGAGAAATACTGTTTCTAAAATAAGTCTTGATAAGTTTCAGACAAGAAAAACTTCCTAATACAGAATCGCTAATAAATGAAATGGTTAAAATTAATGAAAATAACTTGTATACTTCAGGCATAACTTCCTTTACCCATCTTTTTAAAAAATCTTAATCATTTCATAAATGTGTGTTAGGTTATGATAATGGACATTATTATAAAACACTTCTAGTTCTACTTTTAATTTATTTTCATAAGGAAAAATATTTGAGCAGGTTTTTATTAAATTGCATCATAACAGGGGTGACAAACCTTTTGAACACTACATGCCAAAAATTACCTTTTTTTTCGATCGTGCTATGAAAAATATTTTGTTATACTCGAACATACTAAACGCAATATTATGTAATATATATTATTATTTTATCTACAGATAAAATTGAATAATGGTTATTGACCGATAAAAGCCGAATGCTCAAAATATTTTGAGTTAGTAAGCCATTCAAATGCCCAGGCATCATACTAGCACCATCATATCACTAACCAACCAATATGTCTTCAATAATAAACTCTAGAAAAAGGGTCGTGATTAAATTAAATAATCCTTCAGCAGTCTGGTCTTCGCTGACATCATAAAAACCAAAAAAATGTTCAACCAACTTGGACTTATTACTTATGTACCTATCTTAGAATTATAGAACATTGTGTTTTCTGATTTATGTCTGCTGTATCATCAATTTGTACAGAATAATGCATTGTTTAATTTCATGTTTAATATGATTTTCTAAATATTCAGATATACATGGAAATGATTACATTTTGTATGATTATTGATGTACCTGTAAATTTATTCTGCAACGATTTGTAATGTGTTTGTACTTCTAATGAACAAATACTAAAATGTAATTCAACTAACTTTTTAAAATTACCTTTATTAATGGAATTTGAACTTTCATCAATAAACAATACAACACTAAAAATAAAATAAAAATTATAATTAATCAATACCAGCACATATGATAATAATTGATACTAGAAAAAGAATGATAGTGGTAATATTTACGAACGACGACGACCGTCTGGTTCGAGTGACAACTTGACGATTCGGTTTGAATTTTGGTGGAGAATAGCGACGGCGACTGAATGCCCACTAACATCGATTCTATCCCTTATTATTCGCCACTTACAGGTGATTACTCGGGTACAGGACAGGTGGTACGAGTTTCAACAGTTTCATACATGTGACGTATAACGGCCTCGCAATTCACTGTAGGGCCAATAACACTCATATGAGTATTATCGTTATAGTATAATATTATTTGGCGAGTACGAACGACACACGGCACGACCGACCACTGTATCGGAAACGTCGCAATGCCGGCGAAACGAATTAACGCAGGCTATGGAGGTGTGGAGGCACAACGACGGACAAGGCGGCACTACAACTCATGTTGCGTAAAACACAATGCCGTCTCGAACATAGGTAAAAGACAACGAAGGGGCGTATATCGGCTGGAAAAAACAACGCTACGACGGCAGTAGTCCAGCAAAGGTCGTTGGATGACTGATGAGGTTAAGTGTCTGCGGTGTCCACGGTGGAAGTGCGTTATCGGCAACGGCATACAAGGTGAACGGAGCGGACGGCATATATATTAGACGCAATGTCTGTGCCTCGATCGCGGTGTGCGAACAATGTATGGTTAAAATAGGTACGTAAAAAGAAAAAAATTCATATGCGTTGCGTGTGGCTGTAGTGTATCGCGTATGTGTATAAACGTAAGATCGCAAACTTTGGAACTTCTAAAATAATAGTTTCCGGGAAAAAAATATTGCCCCATTATTTTAACCATGAAAAACAAGTCGGTTAGGTCGGTAAGTGCATTTGTTCCCTGCAGAAGTGTCAACTTCTATGATTGGGTGTAGAATCAAGAATTAGGTATTATCTAGTCAAAAAAAAACTAATTGTTTAGTATAACTTTTTAACACGTCAAGGAGGGGGCACGGAAGTATTATAATTTTTCAATTTCTGATTGATTATCTGATTAGTGATTAGTAATAAAGTATTGTTTGTGATACAATTATGTTTACCTTCTTTCATATAGATAGGTGTAAAAATTATTTATGAATTAGGTATATGTACCTAGATAGTTAAAGTTTAATCTTGCAGCATTAATTTTAACTAATTAAACAGTAATTTTTGATTAAAAATGCCTTATTTTAATCAATAAGAACTACCGAACCATTTGGAAACAACTTACTTTTTACTTAAAAACAAAATATACTGTACACCATATGTAATAAGAGTAATAGCAAAGCTAAATAATATATAACTTACTATTTTTTTTCATTAAAGAAGAAAGCCTCGACCGTTGGCTTATTTTACGTATGGGTACTGAAATAAATTAAATTAAATTGGACAATCCAATGTCTTTCATAAACAATAATGTATTTTGGATGGATTCTTTGTTGGTGTCCAGTGAGTTGAAGGTGTTTAGGTATGTTGTATTTTTGTAGGGCCTCTTTAGTCTACATTCAGTAATGTGTTTGATCGAAGTTGGATATCCACGTGTAAGACATGTTCTTGATGCCTCTTTTTCATAAGATAGCTATGTATGTAGTGGGTATGACCCATTCTGATGCGATTTAATACAACATTATCTCTTCTTATGAGGTGCATTGGGTTATTCCATTTCTCTGTTGTTCGTTTAATATTGTGTTAATTTTTAGCCATTCATTTTGCCATTTATTTTTAACTCGATTGTAGCTCATTTTTTTTTTTATATCTTTGTCTGATTTTATATTCCAGATGATTCTTTGATGTGGGTTATTGGCATTTTCCTTAGCAAGTATGTCCGCTCTTTCATTACCAATAATTGGTAATTATAATTATTATTCCGTAGTACCCGATAATCCATGAAAAGATTATGTTGTTGTCAAATTGTATTAGTCAAGTTGATTATTTTATTTGTGATAATATTATCGTTATTAATATTACCAAGACTAGTTTAAGTGCTTATGGAGTCTGTTAAAATGATGTACTTTTTATTTTGCAAGTGGGCACTTATTATACAATATATGGCTTTATATATAGCGAGTGCCTCAGATGCAACTATGCTACAATTATCCGAAAACCTCACAGAAAGGTCGGTTTGTTGGATAACCACAGAAAACACTCACCCCTTTGTCTGTTTTTGAGGCGTCTATACTATATATATATGTATGTGGTCCAGTAATTTGTTTATTACTTCAAAAAACATTTTTGTATGTGTGATTTGAAGTTTCTTTTTTGTTGTAATATAATATTGATACATCTTATGAGCATTTTGTTGTTGTCCATGAAAGTGTTACAAATATTTCTCCAATCAATATATTATTTATTTCTAATTTGAGTTCTCGCTCTTTTTTTAAAATTCTTTTATTCATAGGTTGATTTCTTGCACTAATAGGTCATTGTTAACTTAATTGATGTATAAAAATGTTTTATTAATTTGACTTTTAGTTGAATTGGAAAAAAAATACTTAATTGAGTTAAAACAAATTCATTAAATTGCCCAGCCTTGCATTTTTATAATCGTAAATGGAAGTTGTTAAACACATTTATGATAAATTAATAGTAACTACCTAACAGTTACAATAATTATTCTTTCAGATCAGATTCTGAAAATAGTAATAATAACGTGCTTAAAAATTGATACAATTAAAAAAGTATAAAGAAAGTAGACCCTCACTTTTTAAAAAAGAAACGTTATCCTAATAAATTGTCTTCAGGTAAACTATTTATTATTTATTATGCAACTAAAAGTACCTAAAAGTTATAATAATTATTATTTTCGAATCAGTTACATTTATACCATATCACCAATATGCAGAAGGAAAAAAAAGAGGTTTCGTTGTTGAAAATAATAATTCATCATCTGGTAAACTATTTATCAATTATAATATAACTTATAGTGTTTCACTAATATAATAATTATTCTTGCAGAACTAGATAAGGACTTTTATATTCTACTTACATTCAATAGTCTACGTGCAAAATGTTCATGGTGCAATGAAAATGATGGAAAAGAAATATTGTGTGAATGCTGTGTCTGTTATAGAAAATATCATGATTATTGTCATATTCCTATAATTGTTTCCAGGTATACAATTGTTGAGAGTAGTAATGACTAATGATGCAAGTTAAAATGAATTATTATTTAAATTTTATGATTCATTAGGTTTGTCATAGGTATATTTATTATATAATGAGTTTATACTAATTAATATTATGATAGAAGTGAAAATATAAAAAAATTATGGCGGCGCACAATGTGTAAAGATATGAATACCACATCAATGAATTTAGGCAAAGATGATGACCCAGAAAATGTTTCAGGTGGCAGGGTTGGGCGAAAAATCGCTGAGCCTATTTTAATGGAATAGTACTGTAACCTCGGAAGCAGTGATATTTTCAAAAAACGTCCTATAAAGAAGTTGTAAGTTTGATAATAACTATTAATTAGGTAACTCTGAAATTATTTATATTATTTTATTTTGTAGTTTCTGATGTATTATAAACGCATTATTTGTCCTATAGCATTAAATGATGTTAGAGATTCTATGATTAGCAAAGAAATTTATAAGCTCAGTGAGATTGTATAAGATATAATACAAATATTTGTTAATGCTACATTTTACTGCTGTGTGAATTAATAACTGTTTAAATCTCTAATTATTATCAGAGTGATAATTTCATAGGTGTTACTTGGGAATACCTATCTGATACAATTTGTGTGTGGTTGATATTTTATATAAACGTAATATTATTAAACAGTTTAATTTTTATTCAAAGTTCATCTAGTAGTTATTATTGACATAGTTCTTAGACAGTTCCATAGCCCGAATGCAATTTTTATAAACAAATATGACACTGAAGATTTTTCTATTTCCCATCTTAATTTATTGAACCATTTACTATTTTTAATTTGGAATTTAAATAATTTTAGGTTGATGATACAAATTTTGATTTAGCAAGGAAATCTATAACTTATCTATGCAGTTTGTACCAAACATTTATCAATGATCCCACAAGAAATAAGCAATGGACTGTAGTCTGTCCAGATTCCGAAAAAAGGTACACTTTGAAAGCAATAATTATTTTATTATATTTTATTATCTATAATAATGTGTAAAATTCTAAATTCTTTGCCAAACCCGCCCCAAACGGAGTAATAAATTGTTTTTTCTGTCATAAACTTTACCTACACAGGTACACAGGTTCATATAATGTTAACGTTTAAAATATTTAAAAATAAATATTAAACCTGCAAGCTATAACTTGATGTATATAGATTATATTAACTAGGCACCAGATGATGCTAGAATCGTTTAAGCAGATATATAATTAAACTAAATATTCTATTTCACCCACAAACTATACCCTATACCTAATCATATTATTAAGTGCCATGGTATGTCACAACTCACAAGCATCATAAAAAATACTTAGGTGGTAAGATACACTAGGAACACAGCTAATAGGTAAAATACCTGAGTGGCAGGATTTAAATTTAAGCAAATATATCGTTTTAATGTTATTATGATAAGTTCAATCGTCATTTGATTTGTTTTGTTTAATGTTATTACACTCTTCAAAATTATTTAAATCTTTCATTTACCTAATGTTGTAAAAAAATTATAAATTGTAATTTTTTTAAAAATTAAATTATTTTGACATTTTTAAAATACAGTAAAACCTATAGATAAGATCCCTCACAGGACCGTCAAAAATGGTTTACTATTGAGAGGTGTCCGCTATAGGGAAACATTAATAAAATAATATGTATACATTTATGTCTGAAAATTTAAATTTTATTGACTTTTTAAAAAATATCTTACTTTAGGTCTATCATAACATAATTTATTACAATTATTTAGATGTAACAAAATATATTATACAAAATTACTTATTGAAAAAAAATCTGAAATTTTAGTTTGTTTTTTTTCTTATATTGCAATTTCCTCAAAATTAGACTGAAGTTGGTTAACTATTGACAATGAAACTGCATCATAATTTGTATAATAATATTGTCATAGTACATATTGTATTGTATGCACAATACATTCGTATTTTTTGGATAGCTGTTCGTTATTTAGATATATTTAAACACTCTGACTACCTAAACCTGTCTGCTTCCGTTCTTCAAAGATGTATAGAGAAGCATTATCCATTATTTTCAACGGAACTATGCCGGGACCGGAAATTGTGTCCGTTATTTAGAAGTGTCCGTTGAAAGAGGTTTCACTGTGTAACTATTTTAAAACTATAAGAGTTTTAGAGCTCAAAGGTCATGTTTTGTTATTTTTGATTGTCCTTTTGTCAGCTGATTAGTTAGTACCAGTTTAGCTTAAGATGTTAAGGTTAACAATATTAGTTACCTAGCTATAAAGTAATAAATACAGTAATATTTATTACTTAAACTAGACTTAATACTCTGATTACTAAAAACGAAAATATAATTGCATAAATGATATAGAAAGTGTGTATATAATTTTTATAATTACAACCTATATAGTCTAACCTTTTTTTTTTCCGTTTTAACCGACGACGCCGCGGGATCTGCTTTACATGTCCAAACTGCAAAACTTCACTTATAAATTTTCCAAAAAGTACTTCCAATAAATCTACTAAGGAATCTGAAAAATCCATACAAGAAAAACATTGAATAACTAGTTAAATCTTTACCTTTCATTTGTGCAAAATTTGATAACTGTAATAACAAAAAAATCGATAATATTATACTTGAATTCAATTAAATTATATTATAAAATGAACAAATAGGAGCTGAAAATAAAAGTCTATCAGAATAATTTTTCTTGTTAAAATCTTAAATGTACTACATTGAACAGCATAACCTCAGAATCTCAATTGATATAACAGGTATTCCAAAAACCCCCGATGAAAACTTTATTGCGGTTGTTGAGGAAATCACTAAAAAAACAAACTCAGATTCTTTTGAATGGTTAGGTTAGTTCTATCTTTTTATTCATATACTTAAATTTGGGGAGGAACTTTTAATATTCATTAAAAAAATACTTAATGTTACTGTAAATGATTTCAAAAATTATTTGTTAAGCCCACCTAATTTAATTAGTATAGCAATAATATTTATAGTACTTAATGTGAAAAATCTGAAAATGAATTCATAATTTCTCTGCCTTAATCCAGCTATATAAACATAAACACTTAATTCTGATTTTCATGAACAACAAACTAGATTTAGACAAAATATTAATATACATTTACCGAATTGTGTAAAAGCTTATGGACAAAAGAGAATATATTACATGGGTCTGAAATTATGTTTAACTTTAAATATTCATGGGAACAATTTTAATTATTTAATTTTTTTTTTTTGAGGAACACATTTTTAAATGTATAAAATATAATTAAAAAATCAAATATTATATATATTGTATTAAACATTAATATTAGCACTTTTTACTTTTACTATTTTTTTTTACTAGACAAGCTTGAATGCATCTGTAACTGACCATGAAACGAATAACAGAAATAACAGCTATGCAGAGGTGTGTACATTGTATTATTGTATACAAATTTATTTTTACACTGCTTTATGATAATATTATGTTTGTTCATTTATTTTTGTCGATATTTTATACTCGATTGGACAAGCTCGTATAAAAATATAACTGCATCGACCGTCAATATTCCGGTAAGTGAAAAGTGGTTGAATACGTCATGTACAACATTATAGATGTAAATATGAATTTAAGGTCCGGGGGATTTTCCTAAGTCAGTTATTACTTATTATACTTATTTCCACAGGTCCTACCATCCACACAGTAAAGGTTCATGTTTTGAAAAAAACGGTGTAAAGTTTATATTTAAACATAACAAGACACCTCAACCGCACAACTCATGATGGGGGAGTACTTGGCACGGATGTTTGTTTGTGTCCACTTGGATCCTATTGGGTACCATAATGCACCCTCACAGTCTTTGCCTTCACTGCGGTACGCTGCATTGGTGCAGTGCGACGCAATTATCGTGCATATCTATGGGCATTGGGCACTTTATAGAGAACACAAAAGAAACCAGCTTGATAAAATGGAATAAACAAATTAACCGAAAAACATTAACAATGGAGAGAATGAAAATTGAAACTACAACGATGGCGGTTGCAACAATTTGTAAAAAACAGGGTCCCTTGTTTCTACTTAGTACATTTTTCTAGTTATGATTTACAATACATAATATGTAACTTCATTTTGCTTCTTAATACGGGGATGTTTATTGTATAGGAGGGCAAACTTCTATTTCATTTTGAAATTATGAAACACTACACATGATATTATCTTAAGCATCATGGAGAAAATAAAATTATGTTTGGAAGTCAAAGACTCAATTAACAAAAATCAATCTGAACATATTTAAGTTTCAGTTTTTATTAAGATTTTTTTATACACAATAAACTTAATGGAAATCTTTTTTTTAAACTAAATGTTTTTCTTAAACTCAAAAGTGTCAATTAAAATGTGAAAATTTTAAAGCCATTGTAATTTAAAAATCTTCTAAATATGGACCTAATGTAATTTATTGGTTCAAATACTAACATTTCTATTCACATCAATATTGAATGTAAAAATATTTATAAGACCTTCAATTTATTGATTTTTATTTCTTCTAAATGTTTTTTATGAACTCAAAAATCTTTATTGTAATGGAAAATTCTTCGTGAACATTTACTTAATTTGCTTTAATTCTTTCAAATTTTAATCATTTCTATTCCTATCAATATTGAATATAAAAATATGCATAAGACCTTCAATTTATAGAATTTTCATTTCTTCTAAATGTTGGTCTGAAACTTAGTGTCTAATTTAAAATATAAAAATTAAAAGTCTGTGTAATGAAGATATCTCCTAAGTATAGAAACTATATTTGGAAATTTGTTTGAAAAGTGATTTAGATATCCTTTAGATATGATTTAAATATCCGTAACTACACATTGGCCGGTATTCTTTATTTATTATTACATATTATCTCTAAGTGTCATGTGTAAGAACACTTATTATTATTATATTCCTTAATTATTAGTATTATGTACGACGGTAACCTCAGTGGAGCCGCGCCAGTGGCGCCGCAAACTTTTTCGACAGTGAGGCAAGAAAATGTTAGTTGCAGCACACACGACCCACCTTTTTATTTTGCACAGAGCCGTGGGGGGCTATGCCCCCAGACCCCCTATTATAATTCTATATCAAATTAGCCTTTTTAGAAATTCATGTTACGGGTACTACAATAAAAATAACTTTTATAAATTATATAAATACTGCTTTATTAATAAATCATTAAATGTACTTTCAATTAAAACAATCATCCAAACATTAATTCTTTTCTCAATACACTTATTATACATTATTTATAAACCATGTTTATGTCTATACTCTATAATCTATACTCTATTTTAATATGACTATTTATATATTTATTTATTTGATACGTTGTGTCACTCAATATTTTTCAGAACTGACTATCCACCATAGGTACCTACTCGATACCCACCCACCACCCCTTTTAGCTGTTAGACATTTGTCTCACAAAAACCCTCTCGCGCCGCCACTGAGCCGCGCCATATACACGGCAATAATACATTTATTTATTATTATTGTGTGTTCTTTTTTGTTTTTTTGGACGTACGTTTCCCCAGCCCCCCCAAATCGTGTTTTTCCAAATTTTTTTAGGCCAATATTTTGTACTGAATTTGTACGAATTTGTACGATAAGAACCTAAATTTGTACGAATTTTTTTTTGAAGATATACGAGAATTCGAGTGGGGGGCTATAGAAACGTTTCTACAGCCCCCCCGTCGCCAAAACTAACTATTTATATAAAATTC